TTTTTTTTTTTTTTTGTTTTATCTGGATGAATACCGTTGGAAATTTGTCTCGCCGGCGTGTGTTTCTTTATTTTCTCCCATCCGTACTCCGGCCCTCAACATGGAAAGTATGTAGCAGTTTTTTTCACACGATCCTCGGAAATTTCCGCTTCTTGAGAGCTAAAATTAAGGGCTAGAAATCTGGTAAGTTTGTTTTTTTGGTGTAACTGATTTTAGGCATCACTTTAATTACTTTTTGTTTTTTAGGTATAAAAACAATTTAGTTGGTAGGAAAGATAAAGGTGCAAATATTTTAAAAACGTGTAGTATAGGTGAAAATCTCCCTAATTGTTTATAGTAATTATACATGTGAATAGTTATTGTCATGGGCTTATAATATTTTTTATTTTCAGTGCTAAAGTGTTTTCTATAAAATGTGGAAATAGTCGTTTATAATTCATTTTTGTTGACGCTGCTTTTGCGCTTGAAAATTCCGCCTTGCATTCCGCCGTTCCTGTCTCTCGCAAGAAGAAGAAGAGTAGGCAGATCTATTCTTCCAATTGTGTTTATAAAGCCGGTCGTTACTCCAAGGTTCTCATCTCTTTTTTACCTTATTTAAATGTAATTGGTGAAGAATTGTCCGTAAATGTGCAGGTTCGATTTTATGTTTTTGGGGTGTCTTTGAAATTTCAATATTCAATCTAATTATTGAGAACTTTATTGCTGAAAATTTGTGGAAAAATTTTAGGGTGAACTAATTTTGGGGCTTCAATATATTTAGGTTTAAAAAATATGCGTATTGAATATTGTCGGTAATAAAGCATAAGTGATTGAAAAATAAAGTGTTCAGAAATTGTGCACAGATGGGTGGTTCGAAGAAGTTTAAATGATGTTTTCATGTTTGTTTAATTTTTTCGTTCCACATTTATGGGAAGGATATAAGTTAAAGTGGAGATATCTGAAAGAGAACATATAATTCATTACATATGATATAGGATATTATATATTAAATCAGTTTTAATGGATAAAAAGGGAATATATTGAAGAATAAGCTTACACATCGCTAGGACACGTGACATGATGCTATTGGACAAGCCCAACTTGGGCCATAAGGTACACTCCCTATAAAAGGGGCTAAGGTATTACATTCTCTCATTCTCTCTACATTCATAATTATACTCTTGGGATTTGGAGTGATACTGACTTGAGCGTCGGAGGCCCGACGCCGGGACCCCTCCCGGCGTTGGGTTCTTGCAGGTCCGGTGGCTGTTTGAGTTGAAGGAGCCCGGGTGAAATCTTATTCACTTCATTGGCGCCGTCTGTGGGACCCGTGCGAAAAGCCAAACGGAGTTCTGATTGAAATTTACGAAAATCCTCCTTCTTCTCTACCAGTCGCGCGCCACCGCCGCCGTCGCCGGCCGCCACCTCTGCCGCCGTCCGCCGGCCAAAATGCTCCGATCAGAAATTTTCTTACGTCATTGTGTAGATCTCCTCGAGGTGAATCTCCCATAAAAATTTCATGCGAAAATTCCTCTGGGAAGGCCGTCAATTTTGCGGTCAAAGTTTCCAGATTTAGCAAAAAATTAGTCAAAATCGGACATTCAAATACATTTTCCCGACGATCCGTGAGGGCTATGGAAAATTCGAGGGTACCACCGAAATCCTCTCGACGAGGCGAATCTACGGAGCCTAACCTTCGCTGGCTGCCGCCGCCACCAGCCACCGTAAAACATTCTCCGATCGGGAAAATCTCTACGTCACCGTGAAGCTCTTCTCATGCTCGTCTCGACCTTAAATTTTCGAGCAAAAAATCCTTCGAGAAGTTGGTCAATTTTGCGATCAAATTTTGTGGATCTAGAAAATGGGTGGTCAACTCCGGTCATCTTCCTTAAATTTTCTGGCTATTTCTGCTGAATCACGTCAAACCGGCGGCACCCTTGAGTTCTCCTCGCCGAGGCGCATCATCGGCCAGTCACCTTCGTCGGAACCGACAACATTTCGCCGGCGTCAGTTTTCCGGTGAGTCGCACCCTGCTAGCGGCTTTCAGTGTGCAGCTCTTAGCCCGTCACTTCAATCCGCCCCGGTCCCAGCGAAAGCGGACAGTCGAGCCCAGGAGTGAGAAGCCCAGCAAGCATAGGCGGGCAAGCCCAGGTGAAAGGAGGTCCAGTCGCGGCCCAATTCCCATCTCCCCAGCGTGCGGGCCGCGCCCAGCCCACGCGGCCCGATCCTCGCAGAAACATTGGCCCGCACAACCCGCTCCTGGCTCGCTCCAAGCCCGCGTGGTAGCCCAGCCCCAGCCCGCGTACGGCCCATTTCGCCTTACCAGCAGCGTTATTGTGCGGCCCAGAGACATTTTTGGTGGGGGAAATGTATTTTTCTATGGTCTATAATCTCCATTGCGGCCCATGGAGCACAAATATCCCCGGTTTGCGCCCGGGTGAGGTAATTCGAGATAATATTCTCATTACGAAGGTATGTGACTAATTTAAATTTGGAGACGTGCGGATTTAAATTGGTGAAAATGAGAGAATTATTTGATATGCTCGAGATATTATTTGATTTATTCGAGGAGAGTATTTGATTTATTTGTGGAGTATTAGTGGATTTATTTCGTGGAGCATTATTTGATTTACTCGATGAGGTTATGTGATTTATTTGAGATATTATTTGATTTGTTCGTAGAATTATTCGATTTGTTCGAGGAGAATTATTTGATTTGCTCGAGATATTATTTGGAGTATTCATGGAGAATTATGTGATTTATTCCTGAAAATATTTGATGTGTTCGTGGTGATATTGGATTCGATCATAGAATTATTTGATTTTTTCGTGGTGATATCCGATTCGATCGTGAAATTATTTGATTGGCTCGTGGAGATACTGTTTGACTTATTCGTGGAGATATTATTGGATTTATTCGTGGAGAATTTAGTTGATTGAAAATAAATGCGAGTCGTGATCTCGAATTGAGGACGTATTGTGGTGGTGCTTACCGTGTGTTTGGTGCATTTATCGATGGGCTCGACAGATGAATTAAAATTATGTGATTTGATATATTAATATACTCGAAAACTCTCGTTTAGATTGTTATGGGAAAATGTGGAATTTTGTTCGAATTGATTATTCATAGTTTTTAAGCATGTCATTGCTCGAGCATGTCTTAAATCGAGGAGATGGTGATGATTGTATATGATATTTTGTTTTTCTTGCATGGAGAATTGCAAAATAGATGACGTGAATATAATATGGATAACGATATCTCTTTAAATTCTTGTCGAGAAAACATCAAAATAACCCGAGTCTCGACAAGCTATGGTGGACGAGTTGTGGAGTTTCGAGGACAAAATGAGCGAGCATGGATTCATCAAAGCAGGGTGATAATGAGGGACGAGTCTGGATGGTGTCGATCGCAGGTGGCAATTTCAGAGGCAGAAATCATTCTCTTTTGGAGAGGTAGGATAATTGGGAGTGACATTCTCGACCTTCAGGTAAATTAATCTCAACTCTTGTCGATGGTCAAGATCGACTGACACTATTTTGTGACATATGGAGTCTCTTAGCATTCTTTTTTGGGAGGAATGTTCATTGTTTGAATATTCTGCGTGAAATGTTGCTGAAATTGTGGTGTATGTGGATATATCTGGAATTATTATTTGGGTGACTAACAAAATGCAGAAAATGAGGTGTACATGGAGCCTCGAACAAAATCTAGCACGACTAAGGCCTTCGGGCTGGCCGGTCTCGAGTCGTCATGACTAAGGAGCTCGGTATTGGGAGTAACTCATTTAAATTTTTGTTTGGTGCATTCGTTTAATGATTGTTTGTAGCTGCAGAGTATGGTTCATTGTAATTGTTTGTTGAATTCATGGATTTGTGAAATTCTGGTCGACTGTACATTTGAGTGGGTGTTTTTATGCGATTTCGTATCATGGTAGAGACTTGCATGTAGATTGAGGTGTTGTATAAACGAATGTGGACCAATGTGATTGCTTTGATTTATTCGTGTTTTGTTATTATTGCTATCGGGATTGCAAATTGGATGATGTGGATAAAGTACGACTAATGGAACTTATTGAATGTTGTTGAGGAAAATGCATGAGCAGATGGACTGGATAATGGTTATGGTGAGGAGTCAAAAGCATAGAGCAAAAAGCAACTCAGGTCGTCGTGTACAGACAGGAAAGGGAGGGCAAAAAATATGCTTGATTTTTTTTATATAACTATGCATTTAATAGGACTAATGAAAATGATCAATTACTATTCGGTCTCGTGGTGTTTGGTGTGTTTTCTTTCCGACCTCAGTGGCAGGTCCAAGTTTTCGAGCTGTTCAGGAGTCTAAAATCCACCCCGAATGGTCGTCTGTTCGAACGGTCCCATTAGCGGGCCGGCAGACGTAAATTGGTGGCCCTGAAGCTGAAAACCCACCCCGAGTGCTCGTCTGTTCGAACGGTCCCATTAGCGGGCCGGGCAGATGTTAATTGGTAGCCCCGAGGCCGAAAACCCACCTCGAGTGCTCGTCTGTTCGAACGGTCCCATTAGCGGGCCGGGCAGACGTTAATTGGTGGCCCCGAGACCTAAAACCCACCCTGAGTGGTCGTCTGTTCGAACGGTCCCATTAGCGGGCTAGACAGACGTTAATTGGTGGCCCTGAGGCTGAAAAATCCACCATGACTTAGGCCTCCGGGCTGGATGGCATGTAACGACCACTCCTTCGAGGGTAGACATGTGTTTGAAGACCAAAATCCACCATGATTAAGGCCTCCGGGCTGGGTGGTCGATCCTAGCGTTGGCTCGGTAAAGACATGGATCCTATTGAAGACCTCGGTGGCAGGTTGATGATTTACTTGATTCTGGTTTTGTTGATATTCATTATTGCTCGAGCAGTGGCAGGTCGATGGTATTAATTATTGTTCGAGCAGGTTGATGGTTTTTGCTCGGTTTGGCCTTGTCGAAATTATCTTTCGACCTCAGTAGCAGGTGAGGGTATTCATTCTTGATTGAGCAGGTTGATGGTTTTCGCTTGGTTTGGTCTTGTCGAATTTATTTTTCGATCTTGGTGGCAGGTCGAGGGAGTTCACTCGGAGCAGTTCACGAAGTCAAGTTATTTAGGTTGATGATTTTATTTGGTTTTGTCGAAATTCGGCTTTCGACTGTGGTGTGGTGTCAGGACATTCGGTTTTCGAGAGGATAAACAACAGGGTTGAATTTCAAGTTTTGAACTGAGGGGGCGATGATAGGACGAGGTGGTAGGAAAGGTTTATCTTTGGATGAAGAGAGCTCGAACATGGTGATCGAAAAACAACAAGATGTAAGTTCAAATTTTTAAATTCAAGACTTCGGTCTTCGGTTTTCAACCTCAATGGTCGTTCAGCTCTCGGTGTTCGACCTCAGTGGCGGGTCTCTCGGTTTTCGACCTAAGTGGTCGTTCGACTTTTGGCGTTCGACCTCAGTGGTCGTTCAGCTTTCGGTATTCAACCTCAGAGACAGGTCTTTCGGTATTCGACTTCAGCGCCGGGTCTTTCGGTTTCTGACCTTAGGGGTCATTCGGTGTTCATTTGGGGTCCCGATGCTCATTTGGAGGTTTGGTGACTATTTGGTGGTTGATGATTTATTCAAATTATAACCTCAGTGGCAGGTTGACGGAAACAACCCGAAGAAGAATTTTACTCTTGGATCTAGTCATGCTTACTCGACCAGAGTGGGGGACTAGATGATATAGGATATTTTATACTAGACCAATTTTAATGGATAAACAGGGAATATATTGAAGAATAAGCCTACACATGGCTATGACACGTGGCATGATGCTATTGGACAAGCCCAACTTGGGCCATAAGGTACACTCTCCCTATAAAAGGGGCTAAGATATCTCATTCTCTCATTCTCTCTACATTCATAATTATACTCTTGAGATTCGGAGTGATACTTACTTGAGCGTCGGAGGCCCGACGCCGGGACCCCTCCCTGCGTTGGGTTCTTGCAGGTCCGGTGGCTGTTCGAGTTGAAGGAGCCCGGGTGAAATCTTATTCAGTTCAACATAATTATACATTATATCTTTATTTTTGTATGAGTATTTGTTTTTTTTTGTTCTAGGCTTTAAAGTAGGAATTACCTTTTTTCAATAATGTGTATGTTGTTAATGCATTTTTCATTTGAAGAATTATAAAGGTATGATTGGTAGGAAGGAATGACATGAGAATGGAATGATCATTCCTTACTCATTCCTTATCCCATGATTGATATATTTTTTAGAAAGGAATGATCATACCAATAGGAATGGCAAAACCCATCTCCATGGGAGTAGCCATTCCATAGTATATGGAAGGTTTTCTCATTCCCATGTGTGTAGGAATAAATTCTTCAAAAAATAAAATTAACGAATAATAATAAAAAATAAATATATCATATATATTATAAATTATGATTAAAATATATTAAATAAAATAATTTTAAAAAATAAAATTCAAATAAAAAATTGAAAACTTACTTTTTATTTATTTTTTAATTAGATATATTAAATACTTATATAAAATAAAACTAAAAAAAAAGCATTTATATATAATTTAAAAATATATTATTTCATTTTTATATATTATTAAAAATATATTATTTTTTATATATTAAAAATATACTACTTTTAAAAATATATATTGAAAAATATTAAAAATATATATTATTAAAAGTAATACATTTAGGAGTTCTCTGACCTCGGCTTTCGAAAGGTAGTCCCGGCAGCCATTTAACACCTATTCCAGGACATCAATAGTAATATATTTTTAAATATTATTTTAAAAAATTAAATTCAAATAAAAAATTGAAATTTACTTTTATTTATTGTTTAATTAAAAAAATAAAACATATATTATTAAAAATATATTACTTTTAAAAATATATTATTTTATTTTTATATCTTATTAAAAATATATTATTTTTTATATTAATAAAAAATATATAATTTTATTTTTATATATTATTGAAAATATATTATTAAAAATATTATTTTATTTTTATATATTATTAAAAAGTATTTATATATAATTTATTAAAAGTACAATATTTTTTAAAAAAAGCTTTTATTTATTTTTATAATAAAAAATGATAATGTCATTCTATTCTAGTCCTATTCTTTCTGCATACCAAACGCATCAATGACAAAACTTGTTTCATTCCATTCCCATAATCATTCCATTCTTCAATTCATTCCATTTCTAGAAATTCCATTCCATTATACCAATCATGCCATAACTGTTTTTGATTGGAGATTTTTTCTTTATCTGGGGATAATTGATTCGTGTATTGAGTGTACATGTCACTAATCATGCCTGCTCTGTTTAAAAGATTTTTTATTGTTGTTTCTAATTCGGGAAGACCAACCATGGTAATGTATTGCAAAACTACTAAATTTGACTTATACAATTAATTGTAGTGTAAATTAATAGTTAGTTACAAATATGTACCTGACTAACGAATGTTTTTATCACCTTATAGAGGCTTCAGCCTGGTCTTGTCCATCAATACATGCTTCTTGTACCTCTTCAATGTACCCTAACCACAAGAGAAGGTCGTACATATAGGGTGACAATAAGAGGGAATGATGAGCATGCATTCTGTGATGAGGGGTGGTTAGATTTTGTGCAGTCGGAGGATATTAGGAGAGAATATTATCTTTGGTTTGATCGTAATAGTCTTACAGATTTTATGGTCACTGTGATTGATGAAAATGCAATTGAGCGACCTTTGCAATATCGTTTTAGTCTGGAGATCAAGAAAACGCACATTGAACGTGCACGTTTAGTAATGGATTAAATAATGTGAATTTCATATTTTCCATATGCATTAATTAATTTTTGAATGAGATTATATGGAGAATATGTTTTAAATATAGCCTATTCCAATTCAATTCTTGCGGTCACATGTGGTGGGTGAATGTGAGGACTTGACTCGTTGCTTGCTGATTGATGATACTCAGTATGAAGTCGAAATTGTAAATCGGCATGGCAAAAGTGTTGATGCAAAATATGCGTGCTAGAGAATTCATTGATAATAGTGGAAGTGTTGAACGTTCAATGTGCACATTTACTTTGTGCCCTTATCATTGTGTTTGTCTTTTCTTGACTATAACATGATTTGTAATTTTGACGGTCATGTGGAAAAGTGTTTGTTTAATGTGACATTATTTGGTTGTTTAAAGTTGTATGAAAGTGTTATTGTATTATTTTGGTGTATACAATTATTAGTTGATTAGTGCGTGCAAATGAATAATATTAGAACTTTAATGTTAGGAAAAATAAAGCATTCAATAAACGTCAAAATTATCCTGAAAACATAAAAAAACAAAAGATATAAAATTGTAAAAACTGTTGTGAATGAATAGACGACGATTTGTGATGGGTAGTGTAATAACTAAGAATATGAGTTAGAAATTTGACTGTAAATGCATGAATACGTTATAATAAGCCACATTCATTAGATTAAGTGGGAGTAGTACGAAATATTACTGAAAAGTTTCTCATGCAATGTTCAAGGCATCCTTAATTACAATAGCCAATATGTCAAAACATGAACATGTTAATATTTACTAAGTTAGAACCTGCATCCCAACTTAGAAAATATTAATGTTGAAGTCCATACGGTAGTTGTGCAGGAAAGTATGTACACAAAAGGCTGGTTGTTAACAAAACGGATGGTGCATGAGATCTTCAGCAGTCATAATTTTTCTAAAATGTGGCTTCTAGGACAAAAGAAGGGTTATTTTGAAGGTGTCACCTCACACCTGTTTTTTATGTCGTTTACTTGAAGTTCGAATTGTTGTTCCCTGTGCAGGATCATCACTTTGAGCTTCTTCTGCATCAGCCGCACCACTTGATTGGAGTTCAAAGTTGATAGATCTTTTTGTCCCTGTTCTTTTTTGTTTCTCAGATGCAGCCGATGATGGCGTATCAAGTATTGAGGCCAGAACTGTGTGTGCAGTTGGAGTCAGCTGCTCCTCCACAGCTACCTATTGTACATTAATATACATGCAGCATTAATATTGCATTTATTGGTTTGGGAAAAATATGTATGATGAGAAGTTGACTCACCCCTCACCTCCAAAAAAATAAAATAAAATAATAAAATAAAAAAATAAAAAATAAAGAAAGGGAAAAAACCCAAAAGTAAAAGTAAATTATTGCACGGTGAATTGTATTTAAAACCACTTGTGTAACATACTTTTTCCTCTCGCGACGAACGAAAAAACCTAACCCCCAAATCACCGATCCGCCTCTTTTAATTCCGCCGATTGAATCTCCCTCGCCGGCCGTCCGAATCCATCCGTGGACGGCCTCCGTCGCTCGTACATGGTGGTGCAGCCCTCGTCTCATCTGCTGAAGTTTTGTCCTGTTTCGCGTGTTGGCCAACCGAGATGCTTCTCCTCCCTTATTGATCGCCAGAGTCCAGGTTCAGTCGGTGATGGTCGGGGTGCGGTGCTGGTTCATGGACGAGGCTGGGTTAGCTACAATCGACTTTGGTTGGGACGCTGCTTAATCACCCTGCTCGCCCTTCTCGCCGCTGGTCAGGACCACGCTTTTTCACCAACGAAGCGGCGATTGGCAGAGGCCTCTTCCAGTTCGACACACGGTTGTGTCAATTGGAGGTTTGCCCTCGATATTGCTGCTTTTGTCTCGGTTTTCAATTTTGTCCACGATCGGAGGAAACTCCCAGTTCTTTCTCGGGGAGATGGATATGGGGGTTCACGGTTGGGGGTTGTAGTTACTGCTGGGGTTAGGGTGCTGCTTCCGGTTAGTGCTCGGCTGCCTGGTTGTGCTTAGCCGATTCGGGCTTGGTTGAGTGGTTGCTGTTTCAAGCGGGCTGACTTGGTGAAGCCGAGCCGTGTTTGCTTCTTCACGTGATTGGAGTGCGGGCCAGCTCTCTGGTTGGTCCTGGGGTGCGGGTACCCATCTTGCTAGGCCTTATGCAGTGGCAGACGGTTTTTTCCGTGCTCTGGAGCTGTCTTTGGAGTTGGTTTGTCTGCCGTAAATCCAAATGTATATGGCGGGGGAGGATGTGTCCTCCTTTATGTTTTTGTTTTAGTTTTGCTTGGTCTGTGCTTATGTTATTAGTTTAGTTTAGGATTGTGTTTTTGGTCTGGGCCGTTGGTCTCTGTGAACCCGAGTGTCACCTTATTATCCCTTTGGGATCCAACACTCGGGTATTACTCTGTTGGGGTCTTTTTTAGATGTATTAGTTGTTTGTGTAGTTGGTTAGTTTAGTTGCGAGCACTATTCTAGCATTGCTAGTCGGGATTCTAGGCGGTCTTCTAACTTGTCCTCCGACTTTTCAGCTGTTGGCTGTTCTCATTCAGCTAGGAGCTGCTTATATTTGCGCATTTGTGCACTTTTGATTTATAATAATATATATCGTTTTGGGAAAAAAAAATTGTATTTAAAACCTGTTTTCCAAGAATGTGGGGGTCAACATAAGTGTTTGTTTCTTCCACAAGCATTATAGGTTCAATGTTATCCTCATTAACATACACAACCACAACAACATAATTTGACTCATCCCTGTCCTGATAGTCGAAAATGTAGTGCCTTAGCAAACATGTGATCTGTTTTTTTTTTTTCAAAGCTTGCTTCAATCTCCATGCAATTTTCAAGCTGCAGTTAAAAATGAATAAGTACATATGTTATGGAAAATAATTTGTATTAATTTAGTATAAATTTTGTTTTTTTTGTTCCATTTATTACGTCAGACCAATGAGAATAAGTAAATGTGGAAAAGGTTGAGTTTAATAAAAAGAATTATAAACTATTTTCACCTGGCTTTTCTTCAAGCTCACATGTGTTGCTGTCATTGGAAGCAATTGTTCGGCTTCCAGACCACTAATCACAGCTTGTATATGGCCAGTGTTATCTTCAATGCCCAGTGTAAATCTACACCTGTAATGAATGTTTGAATTGTAATGTAAATGATATTTATAAACAATCTGTTAGTAGCATTTGTTGATTGTATTATTTTAATACCTAGGTTCCACTTGCCCTTTTGCTTTGCATTGAGTGCATTTCACTATCCAACCAACTTGAGCGCGAAGACCTTTTTTGCAATTTTGGCAAGTTGTGAACCAGTAAGATGTCTGCCCATACACAAGAACTGCCTTTCCTCGAACCCATGCCGTTTTGAGTTAAATATATTGAATATGAGTAAATATGTTTTAATGCAAAAAATGGCATTTTGTATAGAAGAGAAGAGTGATACAAAATTTATTACTCACTGTTTGTAAATTGTTTAAGGCTGAGTTCACTGAGATAATCTCTGATTCATTTGGCGGTGGCAAGAGAAACTCAGGGTCTTGATAGACCTTTAATTCCAGTTGGTGATTAACTTCTTCTTTGTGGTCAATGTACCTATATATTAAGTGTAAATAAGTTTAATACAAACGGAAGAAAAGAAATATGCATGTAATAAAATAGATGGTATTTCTTACCATTGCTTTAGAGTAACAGCTTCTGCCATGGGAGGATTAATCATTATGGTGGTTGCATTAGTCGTTGTCACTGACAACACTGTTCATGTAAAAGTTTTATTTAAACACTTTGTATATTTTCAGATTATGTTGATCATGCATAAATACTATGAGTGAAGTTAGCAAATACTTACAATTAAAAGTTGTTACTCTCACTCTCATTGCAACAACAACTTTACTAGTAGGTCTCGTACTCGCTAATTGTTGATCTTCTTCTTTTGCAAAATCATTCCACAACGTTAAAATCATAGGTCTGCTCCTATCCAAAGGTATTGGACAGAAGTAAATAAAATTAATCTTTACATTTTATACTGGATCATACAAACTTCACAAGTATATTTATCTTACTCTGCATTCACGATGATAAGATCTTTAATGTTTGAACCTGAGGAAACATCTCTGAGTGGTAATGCATGAACAACGATACCCATCACATCTGTGCAAAGTAATAAAAATATCATTTCTGATTGACATTTGTTTTGTATATAATTATTTTTGAAGAGATGTTAATCTATGGAGAAGGTGGGAATTATTTATCATTATTTTTTTTTCTTGGTTTCATGTTTTTGAATAAAAAATTAAGGATTACTCTGTAAATTCTCTGTCTCTGCAAACATCCTTAGCTTGTTGTATTCTTGTAGGTGTATTCTGCATGTGGCGGTAATTTTTCAGGATATTCTTCGACCAGTGTGCCTTTTTGTATAGTCCAGGTGAAAGCATAATCACGCAGTTGAAACTGAGGATTTACTGGCTGGACATTTGCTCCAGATACATAGTACCTTCTGTATTGTATGATGCGTTCATCTCATAACTGAATTTGAGATCCATAAACAATAGCACCACAAAAGTTCCCTACATGAATTATATGTATTTTTAGAGTATGTGGTAACATGAATATAATTATGTATAAAAGTACATATGTAATTTAAATTAATTTAGCAATATATTTTGTGGGAAAATAGTACAGTAATATATTAAGTAAACTTGTGAATCTGCGAAATCATATCTTCGGTAAGGTGCCTTTTATCCTGAGCGACCAATCTGAACATGGCTTTTTTCGACAGCTTGAATAATAATTGTCCAGCCTTCAGTGTCGAGATCAACTTCATTAATTTGAAGGTATTTTCGAGACATTCTGACCAAGACAGAAAGAGAACGGCCTCTCGCGTAAATCGGGCCATTCACGCGATATCGGCGCCCACCGGCGGAAAAAGGGCGAAAAACTTCGTTCAAGCGATTGAATTTGACCTAGCCACGAAAAACAACCGCGAAGCTTTTGACTTTTTAGATCTCGTTCTCTCGTTTCCGAAATGGTATTGTGGGCTGAAAACGGACACCTGTAGCAAAAGTTATGGCCAAAACAATTTCGCCGACGAAATCGCCATCGGTAGACGCTGAACCCTAGCCGCCGCATCCAGATCGCCCATCTTCATCGTGTTCGTCCTCACAGAAACAAATTACAGTATAATACGAACACAACAACCCTATTACAATCTACAAGATCGCCTACACTACCCACGCTTATTATCTGGTAAAACGATTACAACAATACACAAGGGCTGCGATAGACATTAAATTGAGGCATAATCGAATAAATTCATCCACACCATAAACATGATTGAAAACGAATACACGAAATCAACTACATGTTTCAGGCAGAGCCGATAATCCACGAAACCGCAGCTCTGATACCAATTGCTGGAACACGCCGATGAGGCAGTCCGTCCCACTTATTGATATCGGATACCAAACATCTTGACAAGGCTATGAAGCCTACGACTACGAAGTCGACTAACATAACTACGACGTAGTAAACTCCCGAGCGGAATCTAGGGTAGGCTACGAAGCTTCCGACTGCGAAGTCGGCTTACACGAGTATCAAATTGTGAACCTTCAAGCAGAATCTCGAATGCACTGTGAAACTGTCCAAATCGTCGCTCGACTTCGACCAGCTCGCAAGATAGGTTGGGGAGAAGACGAGTTGAAAAACTCACGTTTAGGCTACGAATCCTTCGACTACGAAGTCGACTAACACAACTATGAAGTTGTAAACCCTCGAACGGAATCTCGAGTAGGCTACGAAGCCTTCGACTACGAAGTCGACTAACACAACTACGAAGTTGTAAACCCTCGAGCAGAATCTCGAGTAGGCTACGAAGCCTTCGACTACGAAGTCGACTAACACAACTACGAAGTTGTAAACCCTCGAGCAGAATCTCGAGTAGGCTACGAAGCCTTCGACTACGAAGTCGACTAACACAACTACAAAGTTGTATACTCTCGAGCGGGATCTCGAGTAGGCTACGAAGCCTTAGACTACAAAGTCGACTAACACAACTACGGAGTTGTATACTCTGGAGCGAAAATCTCGAGCAGGCTATTAAGACTTCGACTACGAAGTCGACTAACACAACTACGAAGTTGTACTCGCGAGTGGAATCTTGAGAAGGCTACGGAGCCTACGACTACGAATCGACTAACATAACTACGACGTGGTAAACTCCCGAGCGGAATCTAGGGTAGGCTACGAAGCTTCCGACTGCGAAGTCAGCTAACACGAGTATGAAATTTGAACTTTCAAGCAGGATCTCGAATGCACTGTGAAACTGTCCAAATCGTTGCTCGACTTCGACCAGCTCGCAAGATGGGTTGGGGAGAAGACGAGTTGAAAAACTCATGTTTATTAGCTATGAAGCTGCTAAAATCGTCGCTCAACTTCTACCAGCTCGCAAGATGGGTTGGGGAGAAGACGAGTTGAAAAACTTACGTTTATCAGCTATGAAGCTGCTAAGATCGTTGCTCGACTTCGACCAGCTCGCAAGATGGGTTGGGGAGAAGACGAGTTGAAAAACTTACGTTTATCAGCTATGAAGCTGCTAAGATCATTACTCGACTTCGACCAGCTCGCAAGATGGGTTGGGGAGAAGATGGGTTGAAAAACTTACGTTTATCAACTATGAAGCTGCTAAGATCGTCGCTCGACTTCGACCAGCTCACAAGATGGGTTGGGGAGAAGACGAGTTGAAAAACTTACGTTTATCAGCTATGAAGCTGCTAAGATCATTACTCGACTTCGACCAGCTCGCAAGATGGGTTGGGGAGAAGATGGGTTGAAAAACTTACGTTTATCAACTATGAAGCTGCTAAGATCGTCGCTCGACTTCGACCAGCTCACAAGATGGGTTGGGGAGAAGACGAGTTGAAAAACTTACGTTTATCAGCTATGAAGCTGCTAAGATCATTACTCGACTTCGACCAGCTCGCAAGATGGGTTGGGGAGAAGATGGGTTGAAAAACTTACGTTTATCAACTATGAAGCTGCTAAGATCGTCGCTCGACTTCGACCAGCTCACAAGATGGGTTGGGGAGAAGACGAGTTGAAAAACTTACGTTTATCAACTATGAAGCTGCTAAGATCATTGCTCGACTTCGACCAGCTCGCAAGATGGGTTGGGGAGAAGACGGGTTGAAAAACTTACGTCTATCAGCTATGAAGCTGCTAAAATCGTCGCTCGACTTCGACCAGCTCGCAAGATGGGTTGGGGAGAAGGCGAGTTGAAAATCTTACGATAAAGGAAATCTTCCGTCTGCAACTCCATCCCGACGAACCCTCCTCTGCGCGCAGGCTTCGCCGCCGTGACCCCATCGTCTCTAGCGAGCTCATCTCCTCCACGATAGGCCGTCCACGAGTTATTCCCGGCGAGTCCTTGCCACCACCGGTCAGAACCATCGCGTCGCCGCCGTCATCTTCCTCATCCCTCGTTCTCCCTCTCTCACCAGAAGCTCCGTCGCGCCGCCTCCGCCGCGTCCAGCCACCACCGGAGAGCCTTCTCTCGCAAACCGCGACAGCAGAAGCCGGCGACGATCGCCGAGCGCCGCTGCTCCTCCAGGGACCCCAGGAGCGAGCTCTCCTCCGCGAGTCTCCCCTCTCCGCGAGTCCTGTCACGTGAGCAGGCCCTCACCTCCGAGCACCGTAGCTCCTCCGGCGAGCCGTTCTCCGTCGTCTGCTGCTCCTCCGGCCGAGCGACGCAGCACCATCGCGAGCCCTCCTTCTCCTCTCGCAACCGTGAACAACAGGTCCCCAGTAGAGGCCCTCCGTTTGCTGCTCCCCGCCAAGCCCTAGCCGCGAGCAGTCAGGCCGCCACTTGCGCCCCACGAGACGAAGCTCCGCTGTCGAACCGATTGCCACTCGCCTCTTCGTACCGTTTTTCGAACGTGTACCCGAGAACGGTACTTAGGCTCGAGCCCCGTCTCGTTTATATTCGTGTTATGTATTTTTGTGAATTGATATTTGTTATCGAATTAAAACACGTAATAATCAAGTGAAATCGTGAAATTTTATTCTCCTATCGTGTTAATAAGACCGAGTTGGACCTCGGACAACGTGTTTCGATATATTAATGTTTAAGTCTTAAAGTAGTGATATTGAGGCTTGTTTAACGTGATATTTATGTGATCTCGAGGCTATGTTGTTATTCGAATGTTTCGAGTCGTTAAAGGCATGAAACCTATTTTTCGCGCCTCAGTTTGCACTCAATTTTTGTCGACCAAGAAGATATTTCTTGGACAAGAAATTTTCATGAGTTTTGTAGCGATCTGAATAAATTTTCTGTGAGTTTTGGAATTTCATGATTTGGGGTTGAAATGAATTCTATATGATTTTTCGAAGTTAAGAATGCAAGCAGTTTTTACGAACTTGGGCTGAAATTGTAAATTTAACTTTAAGCCATTTTTGGTGGTCATAATGTGCCTGCATGAGAATATGTTTTTCATAAAACACGAAGTCCTTTTTATAAACTTTCATTAGGAGTTAAAATCATGCAATTTGGGGTTGTGGTTGATTTTTTATGATTTTTCTAAGTTGAGTTTCTGCCCAGGATTTTGAATAGTGGCAGTGTAAATGCAAAGAATGTATGCTCTGTATTGGTGCCTTTAACGTGTTTAAATGTAAAAATGATCTTCATATAATTTGTATCTTTCTTTATGTAGTGTTCTGTAGATTTTGAGTTTGATTGGTTTGGAGTTCTATAACTGGAGTTGTTGTCATTTTTCTGAAGGGATGCATGTTGTGCACGTTCATCTTCAGACTGCAGCATTGTTTTGTGTTGTGATTGATGTATCTATATGCCGATGACTGAGTTTGCTAAATTTGTCTTCATAAAAAATGTAGCTTTATTTATTGTCTTTCTAAATGTACCTGATTCATATTTGTATCATAATGGTATCTCGAATAATCCTTAAAATACTGCCACCCTGTTTGAACATTTTTGACTGCACACTTTTTCGAATGTTTGCTGTTTTATCATGTGGATAATGACCTCGTCTGATTTTAAATTGTTCAGGAAAGTTGTAGATTTATGTCTTAGGAATCATATGCCACTGGTTTCACATTATTTCGAGTTATGTGCCGCTAGATGCATTCATTTAAAATCGCTGCGCATATCGTAATTCATAAAATCATTAGTTGATTCCAGAATTGGCACTCTGTCGAAACGCACAATTATATGACCTAAGTGATTTATTTTCTTGATCCTTGTAGTAAGTTTGATCCTTAAATGTTCTTAATGTTAGAAGTTAAGCAAGCCAAGGTATCCAACAACCGAAAAGACTTAATCATAAAATGTTTTCCAATTATATGACCTAAGTGATTTATTTTCTTGATCCTTGTAGTAAGTTTGATCCTTAAATGTTCTTAATGTTAGAAGTTAAGCGAGCCAAGGTATCCAACAACCGAAAAGACTTAATCATAAAATGTTTTCAAAGAAGGCAAGCAAGGCGAAGCCAAGCGAGCTAGTTTTCAAAGTTTCAATATGTGTATAAGACTAGCA